CGGTCACCCATCCGATTGCATACCGCCATTTACTATGCTTGACTTCTGAAATCGTCTGGAAACCGCTGCATTTCGATGATCCACGAACATCTGTATAATCATGGATGTATAGCTATGATATATCTGGTCAATATATGGTGCTGATAGAAATTTATGAAGTTCAACTAAACATCCAGTCAGTTACTGTCTAATATTTAATTGTAATGTTATCACGACTATTTTCAGGTTAGGCAATCAGTCCGGATCTACAATAGGTGTTTTATGCCTTATGCCGTAAGAAACTGACCAATTACAGTCGAATCCGAGAAGAATAAGCGACTGTGATTCGCCCATTTCTTATGGCATAAGGCTTAAAACCCTATTGTAGATCCGGGGTCATACGCTGTACTTTCGCAGTACCAGTTATCATGTATATTGTCTTCGACTAGAGGTCTCCACAGTTTCTCTCCTGTCGATAACGTATTAATACGGTACGGGTTATGTACCATGATATACCTAAACAATATGCAGTACAGATACAGTGTTGATACTTTGTACTCATGGTGGAAATATATAAGGTGAAGCAATCTGATAGCGTATTCGATTTACTGACTCGACCCGACTCCGAGTCAATAGTCTGTTCTGTTTAGCTGCAAAAGAAGAGCTAAATTGTGTAAGAAATGCAGTTAAAAAGAACAGACTGTTGACTCAGAGTCGGGTCGAGTCAGTAATCGAATACGCTATGTTAGATGTGCAGTAGGAAAGTGCATATTCGGACATATTTGATTGGCTATTCCAGTATAACCTGCGCTATTATAGGTAGGAAAGTGCATATTCGGACATATTTGATTAGCTATTGCCAGTATTGCTACCTCCATTATGCGTATTGTTTCACCTTATATATTTCCACCATACTTTGTACTATAATATCATGTACACTTTTTGTACTGCTACCGTACAGTTACATTGCCACCTCGTGGCAGTACAGTAAAGACCGTTCTACAATAAGTTGCGGACACCCCGTTGCCAGTTGTGGAGTGACAAGTTGCCAGTCACAAGTTGTAAATCATTGCAACCCCTAATCCACATTTGGATGTCGAAAGTTGCGATTTGTATAGAAGCAGCCAATCAGAAAGTAGAACGTCCGTCGTTATTGGCTGTAGCCGAAAAATCGAAGAGAATATATCAAGCAGGTTATGTGATAGATATTCGAGATGTTTTCGAAATGAAAATGAAATAAAGCAACACCACCGATATATCACAACAATTTTCATTTCACTCTTCGCGCTTTTCGAACACAATATTTGATTGGCTAAGATGTTACGGTAGACAGTTGCTGTTGCCAAGGAGTTAAAAGTTGGGCAACTCTCCGTTGGCAACCGCGACTATCTATTACAACCGGAAATATCACTTTGCAACTAGTAGTTGCCAACCTTTGCGACTGTCAACGGGGTGTTTGCAACTTATTGTAGAACGGCCTTAACAGTACGGTAGCGGTATCTTGTGCGGGTTGGTGCGGGTATCTCATGCTTGGTTATCTGGGGCATGCTGTATACTGTTATAATATTTATATTGTGATTTAGGCGAGTCGCGGCAACGAAAATCTCGGTTGATCAATCCACTATTGATCTCCCCCACCGTGTAGAAAATACGCGGGAAAATGCGATTTTGTTCCACACGCCTAATCACTTTCATATTTTATAATAACATAAAATCAAATTTACCTTGATGCGCTCCAGTTTTCTGCGTCGTATCGATCAATACGAGATAAGAGCGGCTCTTTAGCAAAAAGTCCGTTCAAGCTTCGACTTTTTATATTACACTTTATTCAGGTATAAATGTTTCATGAACTATTTTTAACAGTTTTACTTTAATATTTTTATGCACAGAATAATGAATTAAATCAATTGGTTAATCATTCAAAATCAAAATATGTAAAATGTTAATGTCTAATGTCTTTTTGAGGTGTGTGTGTGTGT